ACCTCCTTTCTGTTGCTGTGATAAAACACTGACTAAAAGCAAATGGATGGTTTGAGTAGGTATGGTCCCCATAGATTCATGTGTTTGAGAGTTTATCCCATAAGGAGTGGCACTATTAGGTGTGGCCTTGTTGGGGTAGGTGTGTCCTTGTTGAAAAAAGTGTCACTGTGGGGGCAGGCTTTAAGGTGAGGTCTCATGTGTTCAAGCTACATCCGGTGTGGTACACAGTCTCTTTCCGCCTGTGGATCAAAAGGTAGAACTCTCAATTCCTTCTCCTACACTATGTCTGCCTGCACAGACTATGCCCCATCATGATAATGGACTAAACCTCTGAAACTGTAAGCCAGCACCAACTGAATGTTTTTCTTTATTATAGTTGTATGGTCATGGTGTCTCTTCACAGCAACAGAAACCCTAACTAAGACTGGGTAGAAAGAAAATTTATTTGTCTTACACTTCCAGGCTACAGTCCATTAAGGGAAACCAGGGTGGGTACTCAGGCAGCAACCTGAAGCAAAAACCATGGAGACACACTGCTTGCTTGCTAGCTAGCTCTCTGTCTCACTTGGACACATGCTTATCTACTTTTCTTACAAAGCAAAGGTCAGTTGTCTAAGGATAGACTGTCTACAAGTGGGCTGGCCTCTCCTGCATCCATTAATAATCCAGACAGTCCCTTAGAGATCGGTCAATTTGATCTAGGCAACTCCTTATGTGAGGCTTATCTCCCACATAACTCTGGCTGTGTTGGCAATTAAAGCAAATTAAAGGCCAGATTGTGTCTATCTTTGATGGTGTGTTCCTTAGAGGCAGCAAATAGATGAACCCTGTTTTAAATCTTTCAATCTTTCTTTTCACACTTATTTGTGTGTGTCGGGGAGAGAGAGAGAGAGAGAGCTCGAACCCCAATAACTGCCACATGAACGAAAACCCCATTTGCTGGACATGCTGTTACAGTTGAACACATTCTGACGTAGTAAACGGACACAACATTTACCTATCACGGTACTTCCTGGCTTCTCAATTCTGGGAATAAAGTTTAAAATTGTCTAAGGAGCATGGGTTATATATTTGGGGAAGTTTACAATTTGAGCATTTGACTTTAAACTTCTAATGCCAAATTTTCTTTCTTTTTTCTTTTTGGTTTTTCAAGACAGAGTTTCTGTGTGTAGACTTGGCTGTCCTGGAATTCACCCTGTAGACCATGTTGGCTTCAAATTCACAGAGATCTGCCTGCTTCTTCCAGCGCTGGGATTAAAGATGTGTGTCACTATCACCTGGCCCAAATTTCTTTTTACTTTTTCCACTAAGTTGCTGGGGTTTTTTTTTTGTTTGTTTGTTTGTTTTCTACACTCATTTGTATGTAAGTGCACACGCCACAGCACTGGAGATCAGACAAGTGTGTATGTGTGTGTACATGCTATAGCATGTGGAGGTCAGATAGGTCTGGCTAGCAAGCTTAAGTCATTGTTTACTGCTCTAGTTAGCGGAGTGACCCTGGGGGAGCAGGGCCTAAAAATTAGGCAGACTAAATTCTCATGCACTAGCCAACTTATTCAGAGCACTGAACAGTTTATATTCTGAGGGTTAAGAAGAGTCCCCTGAGTGAGACAAAGACAGGCCGACAGTGGTAAAAACATGTTTTCCATAGAAGCGATGGATAGCAACAGCTGAAGGGAACGCACCGCTTCCTACCTGCTGCGCCTGGGAGGAGCATGAAAACACATTCCAAGAACAAAATTCTGTTGTGAAGAATCTGAGGTCACAAGTCTCTCGCCTTGTTTTTGGAGTTTTCAGTCACAAGAACTCAGAAGTCTCTATGACTCCATTCTGTGTGTCCCCGCACGTTGTAACATCTTGGTGTTAGCTCCTGGTTTCTGACACCATAGCATTGCCCTCCTATTTTGGCTTTCTGAGTTCTGAGATAACATATAACCGAGCTGCCTTTTTAAATTTTTTTGCTTAGTTTCACTCTGCAGGTGGTCTTGAGCTCACAGTGATCCTCCTGCATAAGTCTCCTCAGTACTAAGATTATAGATATGGGTCACCATGCATGGCTCTCAAAATTTTTATTCCCTGAGAACTCATCATCAGATGCTTCCTAATATATAGTACCTGTGAAGTCTGAGCCCGAGACACTTGCCTGAGCTTAGGGGCACCAGGGATCACCCACTTTTCTTAGGCTTCACAATCAGGAAAACACATTCAGTAGCATCCAACTGAAGGCCTGGATCTTCTCTGGACTCAGTTCCCTTTCCTTTCTTTTCTTCCCCGAGGCCCCCCCCCCCCACTTTCTTGAGACAGGATCTCACTATGCCACCCTGGCTACCCTGAAACTTGCTGTGTAGACCAAACTGGCCTTGAACTCAACAAAGATCTGCTTGTCTCTGCTTCCTGAGTAGGTGTGTGCCACCATGGCCCACACTCTCCTTTCTTTGATTGTTTTACTTTTGGAGGCAGAGTCTATTGTCTATGCCGTTTCATTATCCCAAGTACTGGGAATGCAGTCATGTGTCACTATACCTGATCGAAGTTTTGGTTCTTAGTACAGCAGACATGTATTAGGGCAAAACACACAGGTCTATAAATATTTCAGTAATTTTTGCTGCATTACTTTTCATTTCCATACCTTTTATTCAGCCCACCTGAGAGGCTGGGTTTCTAAGTCCATGGTAGATCATTTAATATGCTTGAGGTCTTAGGTTTGATCACCAGCACCACTACAAACCAAACTGAGCTAAAAAGATACCCTGTTGAAAACAGTCCCGATTTGGGCATTTCTCAGTGCTTTTTTGTTTGTTGTTTAAGAGATAACATTGTTTACATTGAATACTTAAGGTAACTAAAGAAGGAAACAAAATTTTCACGTTTACAATCTTGATCAGTGGTACCTACTTGTAATTCTAGTGCTTGAGTAGGCGGAAGCTGGAGGCTCATGAGTTCAAGGTCACATTCTGAGCCGTGGGGAGTTCAAGGACAGCCGAGTTTACCTGAGCCTCTGCTTTAGAAACAAACAAAACTGTACCATTTTAGACGAATATGGTAGCTGACACATAAGTTTAATTCCAGCATTCAATAGAAAGAGGTAGAAATGACTACTGTAGATGCAGGGCCGATGTGGGCTGTAGGATGAGTTCCAGACCAGTCAGGAGAAATATAGCGTAAGACACTGGGACTGGGGGCTGGAGAGATGGCTTAGAGATTAAGAGCACTGGCTGCTTTTCCAGAGGTCCTGAGTTCAATTCCTAGCAACCATACAGTGGTTCACAACCATCTGTAATGAGAGCTGGTGCCTTCTTCTGGTCTGCATACATACATACATAAATCTTCAAAAAACAAAAACACTGTGCTGGTTTGAAGGAAAATGGTCCCCAAAGGAAGTGGCACTATTGAGAGGTGGGGCTTTGTTGAAGTAGGTGTGTTGGAGGAAGTGTGCTCAAGTCACACCCAGTGTCTCAGACCACTTTCCCGTTGTCTGCACATCAAGACGTAAGGACTCTCAGCTACCTCTCCAGCACTGTGTCTTCCTGCACACCACCTTGCCACACCATAATGATAATGGACCAAACCTCTGAAAATGTAAGCCACTCCAATGAAATGTTTCCGTTATAAGAGCTGCTGTGGCCACGGTGTCTTCCCAGCAGTGAAAGCCCTAACTAAGACAGTGGTTAAGAGCTTATACTGCTTTTGTAGAGGACCTGAATTCAGTTCCCAACGGCCTATAACTCTAGCACCGAGGGAACCTGACCCCTTGGGCATCTTCACTCACACGCACACATTCCCCTCCTGCATACACAGCTACACAATACAAATAAAAATAAAGGGGAGAGAGTGGAAGGGAAAAGGGGAAGAGAAAAAGTGGGAAAATGTATAGCTCAATAAAAACTATTTAAAAAATTGAAAAATATATAAATAAAAATAAATCATTTAAAACAACAACAAAATTAGAATTTTGCCAGGTGCTGAGGTACCCGAACAAAGCAGTACTGAGGCAGGAGAATTGCTTGTGTCCAGAAGTTTGAGATCAGCCTAATCAACAAAGACCATGACTCTCTCTTCATGCATGTGCGTGCATGTATGTGTGTTAGTGTGTGTGAAAAGGCAGGTGCACATGAGGGCAGAGAGCAACCTTGGCCATCATTCTCAGGAATTGTGTCCATATTGTTTGAAGAAAGGCCTCTCTCTCAGTGGCCTAAAGTGCATCAGTTAGGCTAGACTGGCTGACCATTGAACTCCAGGGACCCGCCTTGGCTCTGCCTCCTCGGGACTGGAATTACAATAGAGTTCCACAACATTTGGCACTTATGTGGATTTGGGGGATCAAATTCAGGTAGGTCCTTGTGGTTTTAAGGCTAGCACTTTACCAACTGAGCTAGCCCCAGCACCAAAGATCAAGTCTCTTTAAAAATACTACTGGGGGGCTGGAGAGATGGCTCAGAGGTTAAGAGCACTGACTGCTCTTCCAGAGGTTCTGAGTTCAATTCCCAGCAACCACATGGTGGCTCACAGCCATCTATAATGAGATCTGGTGCCCTCTTCTGGCATGCAAGCATACATGGAAGGAATGTTGTATACCTAATAAATAAATAAATCTTTTTAAAAAAAATACTACTGGGGTGGGAGAGATGGCTCAGAAGAACATGCATTACTTTTCCAGAGGATCTGTGATCAGCTCCCAGCACCCACAATGATGGTCGTCCCAAGGGATCTGACACCCTCTTCTGGACTCTGCAGACGCCTGCACTCATGTGCACATAACCACACATGTACATACTTAGTATATATGTACTAAAAATTTAAAAACAATACAAAATAAATCTACCAAAATGTATCATTTTGGCAAAACGGGTTTCATGTATATTAATTTGCTCCTCTGTTAGGAGTATGTCATCATTTATGTTGCTCATGAATCTTGCTTTGGGCAGCTTTTACCTCTCACTCTGGGGCATAAGTCAGGGTAGCTGGCTGGGGGCTGCAAGATCTGTTTTTCAAGCCAGCTCACTCCATGGCTGGCAAGCAAGTGCTGGCTCCTGGCCGAGAGTGCAGCTGAGTTCCGGGCTCAGTCCATGTTCTCTGCATGGGCTTCTTCACGGGCTGCCTGGATTTTTTCCTGGCATATGACTGGGCGCTGAGAGCCAGCATTCCAAAAAAGCAGAAAGCTGCGCTGCCTTTGATTATCTGGTCTCCAAAGAAAACACAGTCTTCCCTCAAAGACACCATGTGAGAACCTGTGGAATGGGGGAGGGCAGTGCATCATTTTATGAATTTTTTACCCACCACAGAAGACTGACAAATTGTGCCAGGAAATGAAATGGCTGCTACACCTCTGATTCTCACAAGCAAGCCAGGCTGAATTGGAAGGATCTGGGTGGCACAGAATAGATGTGGTGATTCAGAACTCTTGTGTAGAAATGAAGGCGGGTGGGGTGCTTCAGTGGCAGAAAGTCATCTGGCTTCAGCAGATTCAAAGCATTTTCATTAAGTATCACCATGGTAGTTATTAGTAATTTGACGAGGCTCCAAGACTTTGTCCCATTGTTGGGCAGAGTGAGTAGATTAGGGTATTTTTGTTACTGTTTCCTATCCTTGTCTTCTGCTTGATGGCAGTGGTACAGTCTGTCTGTCAGGTGGGTTCTGGGAAGTGAACCTGGTCCTCTGGAAAAGCAACAAGTGCTGTTAGATGCTGAGCCATCTCTCCAGCCCTTACCCTACTGTATTTAAGTATATAATTTTCAGGCTGAGGGTATAGCTTAGTGGTACACTATTGTTGATGTGAGTCCTCAGTTTAATCCCCAGCATTTCAAAAAAAAAGTTCAATTTTATTAATTTAACACATATTTTAAGAGGTGGGGATGTTGAGTACTTGCTTAGAATGCAGAGTCCTGGGTTCTATCTCCAGGACAATATGAATTCCAGAACTAGGAGATGGAGGAAGAAGGATCAGAATTTTAAGGTCAGCCTAGATTACTTGGGGAATTTGAGGCCTCTCCAGCTATACGAGTGATTGTTTCAAAACAAAGGCAAAATTCAAACATACAAACAAACAAACAAAAAAACTAGCAGCAGCAGCAACAACAGAACCCCTCAAACTAAGCAAACCATCTCTTTCATATTACTAGCCCTTCTCTTGAGTTAACCTTAACAGAATACACCTGTGGTGCTAGAGGATCACTCAGTGGTTAGAGCACTGACTGCTCTTTCAGAGGACCTGGGTTTGATTCCCAGTACCTACATGACAGCTCACAACCATCTAGGTCCAGAGGATCACCCTCTCTGGCCTTCCCAGGCACTAGACAAGAAAGAAGTGCATACACTCAACTATCTGAACACTCTTACTCATTAAAAAAAAAGCCAAAAAACCAAAAAAACTGTGGCTAGGCTGGGTGGTGGAGGCACATGTCTCAGCACTCAGGAAGCAGAGGCAGGCGGGTGTCTGTGAGTTTGAAGTCAGCATGGTCTACAAACCAAGTTCCAGGACAGCCAGAGCTATGCAAAGAAACACTGTCTTGAAAAAGACAAAAACAAAACAAAAAACAAACAAGCAAACGAAACCCCATGGCCGGCTGTGGGTGCACATGCTTGTATTCCCAGCACTTTGAAGGTTGAGTTCAAAGCTAGATTTAGCTCCATGGGACTCCATCTCAGACAAACCTAAAAAAGAAGGAACACGCCGGACAGTAGTGGCTCATGCCTTTAATCCCAGCACTCGGGAGGCAGAGGCAGGTGGATCTCTGTGAGTTGGAGGCCAGCCTGGTCTACAAGAGCTAGTTCCAGGGTAGGCTCCAAAAGCTGCAGGGAAATCCTGTCTCGGAAAGAAAAAGAAGAAGAAGAAACAAACTTATACTTGCGAACAGCAAATATCCAATTCATCATCTTCCATGGAATAAAGAATGATTACCAAACATCAGTAGAAAGAGTTGGAAAGACCAGCCGAGTACAGTAAGGAATGCTTGTAATCCCAGAATTTAGGAGGTTGATGCAGGAAGATTACCATGAATTTGAGGACACCCTGGGATACCTAGTGAATCCCAGGTGAGCCTTTGCTACATAGTAAGAGTTTGTCTCAAAAAAAAGTTGGCATGATGACAATAAATAAGGTTGATGTTTGATAACTTTCTTTCCATTACAAAAACAGGCTGATATGATGGTTTCAATGAAGAAACCATGGTCTTGGGCGTTTGAATACTTGGTCCACAGTAGTGGTGCTGTTCGGGGAGGTTGAGGAGATGTGACCATGCTTTAAAAAGTTATGTCCCTGGTGGGCTTTGAGAGTTTAAGACCTGGCCCTACTTGCATTTGGCGCCCCCTGCTTTGTGCTTGAGTTTTGAAGACGTGAGCTCTCAGCTTCCTGCCCCATCTGCCATGCCTCTTCTCTGCCATCATGGACTCTTAACCCTCAGGAACCGTAAGCCCAAATACACTTCCTTCCTTAAATCTCTGTGGTTGAGGTATTTGATCATAGTAAGAGAAAAGTAACGAGTACAGCTAGGCATGGGGAAGTCTGCATCAAGAGTAGCTATAGCACAATGTGGAAGAGTTTATAGGTCTAGTGGTGAGCATGGTGGCACAGTCTGAGTCCAGTACTGGGAGCGAAGGGAGAAGCATCAGGATTTCAAGGTCAGCCTTGACATCTGTATAAGATCTTATCTCAAAGCCCCCTCCTGAAATAAACCAATAAAATAATATAAACTTCCAGTACTATTTCAATGTTCAAACATGTATTATTATTATTATTATTATTATTATTATTATTATTATTATTATTAATGTTTTAGTGTTTTGAGACAGGGTTTCTCTGTGTAGCTCTGGCTGTCCTGGAACTCAGTGGGGAGATCAGGCTGGCCTTGAACTCACAGAGATCCACTTGCCTTTCCCTTCTGGGTGCTGGGATTAAAATGAGCTGCCACCACTGCCTGGTCTATTTTTTAAAGAAATAAGAGTAGATATAAAGATTTTAGTGTGTCAGCAACGGCTAGCAGTAAGTATTTTGTTTTGGGGGAGTATTGTCTCCATCACAACTATTAACTCTAGCATGTTAGTGTAAAAGCATACACAGACAATTCATATCTCTCACTACATTACAATAGCCTCAGACTGTGATTTTTGCTTTTTTTTTTTGTCAACTGGACACTAACATAAAAACAACCGGAAAGAGGGACTCTAAATTGAGAAACTGTCTCCATCAGATTGATCTGCAGGCAAGTCTGTAGGGCATTTTCTTAACTGACTGATGTGAGAGGGCTTACCTTTCTTGTGGGGAGGGCATCACCACTAAGCAGGTGGGACTGCACTGTATGAGAAGGTAGGCTAAGCAAGCCATGAGGAGCAAGCCGGTAAGCAGTGCTCTTCCACGGGTCTCCTCAATGGACTGTGATCTAAGATATATAAGTCACATAAACACTTTCCTCCCAAAGTTGCTTTTAGTCAGTTGTTTATCATAGCAATAGAAAACAGACTAATACAATTCTTGAAAAAGTTAATATAGGCAGGAGAGAAGGCTCAGCAGTAAAAGGAGTTGCTGCTCTTGCAGCCGACTTGGATTTGGTGCCCAGTGTCCACATGGCTCAGAACCCTCTGTAATTCCAGTTTCAGGGGTCCAATGCCCTCTTCTGTCTTCACAGACAAAAAAAAAAAAAAAAAAAAAAAAAAGTCCTGGAGTTACAGATGGTTGTGAGCTGCCATGTGGGTTCTTTGGAAGAACAGTTAGTGTTCTTAACTGCTAAGTCATATCTCTAATTCTAATTAAAAAAAAACAAACAATTAAAATTATACCAAAAAAATTTAAAAGAAGAAACTAAGTTTTAATAACATACCTGGAGCAATCTTCAGTAGTGGGGGGATGAGATTTTAATTGATTTTTCTATGGTTTGCTGTTGGTTAGATTCATGGAATTTTTTGTTTTTCAAGACAGGATTTCTCTGTGTGTAGCCTTGGCTGTCCTGGAACTAGCTTTGTAGACCAGATTGGCCTCCAACTCACAGAGATAAACCTGTCTCTGCCTCCCTGGGTGCTGGGATCAAAGGCATGCACCACAAAGGCCAGCTAGGAGGTTTATTTTTTGTTTGTTTATTTTTTAATCAAGGGATGGAGAAAGTGCTGGAGGTTTGGTTCTCCTGATTTGGCTGAGGCAAAGCAGATACTGAGTAGCATCTTTTACAAGTCACAGTTTTGAGTGGGGTATTCGTTCCTAAGGTGTGAAATATTCATTGTGACAAAACAGGCAAGCAGGGAGCTTATGCTTGTTTACAAGAGACAGTTCATTCTGAAGAGATGTGGTACCATTCTTACTGCAAACACTGGCAGGTTCCTAGTTGAAAATTGCTAGGGATTTCAGTGGGTTCCAATAAATTCAGTTTCCTTTTATTTTAGCAAGAATTTCCTGAAGCCTTCTCACCAAGAGTACACACGCTAGAATTTTAAAAAATAGTTTCTTAATGCAATTTCCCCAAAAGGAGCCACAGCATATTGTATGAGGCACACGAGTTATGACTGGTGGTACTTGTATACTTTGAGCACGACCTAGCAGCTATGGGTCAGCAAAGTGGTTTTACTGCAAACAATGTCACCCTTGGGGTGTAATTCTTGACCTGATACCAGGTTCTCTTTGATGTTACAGCTGTTCAGTTCTTTGGGCTACCCAGTGAATTGAATGGCATGGGATGGAACTGAGTGGACTTATCACATCGGTCCGAAGTGAGAATTTCCTTATGTTAATCTTTGAAAGAAGCTTAAGTCAGTCCTCCTACAATGATCAGGACAGCTGTGGTGTCAGTCAGGAGCACCAGTGACAACCTTGTTAATCAAAGTTCTAAAAGTTTCATATTCCTTTTGTTTTTGAGACAGGGTCTTACTGCATAGTCCTGGAACTCACTATTAAGACCAGGCTGACCTTAAACTCAGACAGGGTTTTTCTGTGTAGCCTTGGCTGTCCTGGAACTCACTCTGTGGACCAGGCTGGTCTAGAACTCATAGAGATCTGCCTACCTTTGCCTCCTGAGTTCTGGGATTAAAGGCGTGCACCACCATGCCCAGAATATTTTCTTGCTAATCATTGGTATTAAAATTTTATTGTGTATACATTTGCTTGTATGTATGTCTGTGAACCACTTCTATGCCTGGCACCTAGAGGCCCCAAATTGGAGTTAAACATGATTGAGCTGCCATGTAGGTGATAGAAATCAAACCTGTGTCCTCTGGAAGAGTAGTCAATGCTCTTAACTGCTTAGCC